CAAACCCTAAAATTGAGTAAGGAGAAAATTAATGAGGTGGAAAAGATGGCAATTTTTATTTCAATTTTTTATACTCCTTAATTTCTGAGAGGTGAAAAATCAGATACAGCTGCAATCCAAATTAGTTTTTTAGCCTTTGATACAAATAATCATAGTTAAATTTTAGCATTATTATTTGATAAAATAGTGTACCCAAATTGTATTCAAATTTTAACATTGCAAGGCCAGCACTTTATCTGGCAGATGCCCCACTTGGAGAAGCTTGATGTGGCTGCAGCTTCAGTATTCAAAAGGTGGGGAAAACATAGCTGGTACTTAGATTCCACTACTGTTATTTTTGCCGTAGCTAATTCTGATCTGTGTCTGACATTACAAAGGAAGAAATGGCTAGAAAGCTAGTACAGTATCTTCGAACAAACAAGTATAATTTTGAAAGAAAGTTTTTTTCGGTCTTTTGTGGAAAAAATTCCGGTTTTTTTTCCAAAAAAGACGGAGTTTCTCAAACTCATCAAGCCACCTTCACTCGTTAATTATGTAGGAGCTGAGTCATGCTTAGTGTTTGATATACTTAAACACACTGAAAGACATGTTAAGTGACTTTTTTATCCTTTACATTAGGCATATGACTTTTAAACTTTTTGAATGAACTTGAATAAAAATTGATTTTCTGGGTTTTCAGTAGATGAACTTTTATACTTAGATTGCATTATTTATTCCTTTAGTGAAAAATTATGAAAAAAGGTGGCGCAACCATAAGTATTTTTTGATGACATCACTATTCAATATAAAACTTTAAACAAATGGCGTTATATAACTATATTGCGCTAAATGTAGGCAATGTTTTATACCTTAAATGTTAGCTTCTTATTGCTAATTAAAGCTAAATATAGTTTTAACAATCTGCCTTTAACCAATAGGCTTACAATTTCGAAATTTCATATTAAAAGTAGAGTTTCTAGTAGTTTGGCTTTATGAGCTTCGATTTTTTTCATCTGCTTTTTACTAATTGCTTTGTTGTTTTATTGTAGAAGCTATTCTGACAGAAAAAGTTTAGACTTCATTTAGTTCATCAAAGACATGTTCAAACTATCACGTAACCTAGTTAATAAAAGCTCCAATGTATGGCAGCAGAATATAAAAAGCAAAATTGTCAGGCGTTCAGAAATACTTTTGTGAGTTACTGAATTAAATGAACTCTGCAAAATGCCTCTTAACAGGGATGTTGTTGGGCGTTTTTTTGGATTACATAATCAAATGAAGGAGAAAAAAATAAGAATAGAAACTATTGCAAAGGAACTGAATTTACTTTGGATAAATTTAATTTTAAAAAATGCAAATCTAGTAGATGCATATGTGAGATACAGAAAGAAAAAGGTAAGAGATTTCTGGATTTTAGCATTGCAGGACATTAGCAAGTCTCTTTGATATGAACAAAATTGATGGAAATTGGTTGTCCTCTGAGGAAAAACAACTTTACCAACAGCAGATTGAATCTCATGGTACTGTTGGATACACAACTGCGAAGTTTGCACTAGTCTCAACAATTCAACCGTCTAATCGCCTAAAAGTTATGCAATCTTCAGTTGAGAAAGAAGTCATGGTAACTTCAGATGAATCTGTGCAAGAAACTGATGCTGAAACATCATCTGGTGATGATTTTATACCTGAAATGGAAAAATAAAGAGGAAAAAATATCAAAAAACCAAGGCTGCAAATCTGGTTACCAAATATTCTCTATCTACAAGACAATCACCCAGAGTCTGTTCTAGTCTAGCTGCTGAAAGTTCTGCTAGTTACCAACGCCATCACAAACTGGAATATGGAAAAGAGTGGTCAGAGATGGAATTAGAAAGGCTGCTGAAATAAAACGGATTCTTCAGCAGGAAAATGATTTTTGTTTGAATTTCAATGGAAAGAAACTGTCATCTAAAGAATTTGTGTTGTTTGCTGGCAAAGTCCTTCAAGGAAATTGAATTTAGGTATTATCATATGTTAATCTTGTTCAGCTGCAAACATATTTGGATTGGATATATTGGATTGAAGAAGCTCTTAGATGACTTCAATGCGTGGAAGAGTATTAAAATGATTGTGTGCGATACAACAGCAGTCAACACTGGTAGCAGAAATGGAATAATCGCTCGGCTATATAAAGAGTTTGAAATAAAATGTATTATTAGACCGCAGTATATTGGTTGTCAACACCACATCCTTGACTTGGTTCTTTGACATTTACTTGACTTCTGTGTTCCAACAGTCGCACAGAAACCAGATATAAACTATTAGTTTGTTGATAACATTTGCAGTCAGTATGAGAACCTTCAGACAAAATATACAGGTGAAGTCGAAGAATCTTTGCGAGGCCTACAAAGTGTTTAAGAAATGCGCTAAATTTTCAAAAATCAAGTGGCGAAAATTTCCTTCACTTCATAATGCGAGATGGAACTCTAGAGCAACATATGGTCTACTAACTTATTTTCTTCTGGATGAACATTGTCAGCAGCTGAGCAGTATCTGCAACTTTATATCAATTGTATGGGCATCAGCGTGGTTCTCTAATCAGCACCTCACTGAACACAGTTTTAAAGAATTGCATTCTGCTGTTTCAGAATTTGATTGCCAATAAGCAACAAAGTGTTTCCAAACGCATTGGGTAAATCAGCCTTCAGTCATTGACATTCCACGATCAAACATTGTGGCTAAAAAAGCAGTAAAAATGATGAAAGACATTTACACTACCTGCAAAAGTGACAAGTACTTTAATGCTAAATTATTAAACTCAAATTTACAATTGTGAACACTCAACAGTGACTAAAGTAAGCATAAATTCATATGGATGTTTAAAATTTCTGTTTTACAATATATAACTTGTGTGAATTAAGCATTGTAGCTATTTCTTTAAGGGTGCGCCAGGTTTTTTGAAACTTAAACAAAAATTAAGTCACATTTACTATATTTAGATTAAAGTTCATCATTTGCCACCCCAGGAATCTTGATTGAAAAAATATCATATACCTAGTTTAAATGGAATATAGATCCAGATTTCATTGCTTTTCAACTATTTTTTAAAAGCTTGGCAGTTGTTAATGATGCAGCAGAGAGAGCCGTAAAAGCAATTCAGGAGGTTGTTTCACAGACATATGACGAGAAGAAACTGCAGAAAATGTTTATAGTCAAGAATAAAATAAAAAAACCCATTTCACGCACTAAAGCAACATATAAAGAGGCAGCTTAAAATAAAAAAAACAATTTCACGCACTAAAGCAGCATATAAAGAGGCAGGTTAACAGTTAACACCTGCTGAGAAGCTAAGCCTTGCGTTCGAATATGAATGTCTTGAGGAGACAGAGGACAAGTTATCACTATCTAGTACTAGTGATTTTAACAGTAGCTTGGATATTGTTGATGAAGATGATGTGGTTGAGACTATAGAGGCTGAAAACGAGGTCTTCAATAATGCAGAAACCTAAATCTATATTTTAAGTTAATATTTTTTTCAACGTTATCATTTATTTTTTTGAAGTACAAAAGATGGGAGGGGGAAGAAAAAGGTACGGAAAAAAAAATTATCCATTCATGCCCCTCCCTGTTTGGGTAAAGAGACATTAATATGTTTTTTATATTTATTTTGCTAGCCATAATGAGGTTGTACAAAACTCTTTAGATCTATATAACTTCTGCAACACCTTACTATAAAACCTTGACTCCTTTTTTTTAGACGTTTTTATATTTATACAGTTTCAACTTAAATTTGAAAAATAAAAAAAAAGAAATTGTTCTCCCCCCCCCCCCGTCCATACTCTCACGGTTTCCGAAATCAAGTTGTGGCAAGGTGATCCCGTAAAGCTAAGGTACCAATTTTTTTTAAGCATGCTCTAGACATAGTAAGCTAACAAACAAGTCGTATACATGTTTGTATGTATCTTAGATCTCGAAAAAATATCAATCTTGTAAAAAGTTGCAAATTTTGAAAAACTTTAATTAGGTGTAGCAAGGTAAAAATTTTTTTTTTTTTGAAAAACCAAAATATTATTTTAAAATCACTCACGATTACACATCTTTTTAGCTTGCATACATGTTCCAAAAAAAAAATTTGTAAAATTTGAACACCCCTAATAATACAAACATACCTAATATATTATTTACAAACATACCTAATACAAACATACCTAATATAACTTTGAAGCTTCTTCAAAAAAAATATTTTTAAAAATTTTAAGTTAGCGCTTTTAATAATAAGTGATATTGGTCAAAATTGGGGCAGGGGTAATTTTTGTCTAATTTTGCTCATCTTTGTCTCATTTTTTTAGTTTTCCTATAATTATTATAGAAATCAGGGCAAAAATATGAATTTCTAAAAAAAGTTGCTTTCACTCCACCCTAATGAGCAGCCATGGCGCAGTGGTTAGAGGGCTTGCAATAGATTCAGGTTTAACGCGAAACCCAGCGAGCTCTGGGCATATTAGAAAATGGAAAATTTGGAAAAAAAGGAGTGAACTTCCTAGTCAAATGCTTTTCCATGGTGCTTTGTAACAAGACCGTTAGTGACCGACCATGGTGCTTTGCGACAAGACCGTTAGATCTTCTAGGGGCGCTAAAAACAAACAAAAAAATATATAAAAAAACTATTGAACTTTTTATTTACATAAATAATTTAAAATATAAAATCAAAAATCCTCTAAATAAAAATGATTTCATTATATATATATATATATATATATATATAAATTATTTTTACTTTAATAAACCTGTAATACATGCTCAATAATATATTATAACAAATCTAAATTTTTAAACAAATGTTTTATTAAAAAATCTCGCGTTGAGTCTTGCGAGATCATTTGGACACTATTACATTATACAAATAAAGTTGAAAAAAAAATTGTAAAAAAATAAGGCTTTGTATTTTATGATTTAAAAAAAAATCAAAATTACTAAAAATGCATGAATTATGTTTCCGATAAATTTATTAAAGAAAAAAAAGAAAAGAAAAAAAAAAAAAATTAACGCAGACAGTAAAGATGTCTCAGTTATACTATATTTTTTACATATCAGGATAATACTAAGTTTTTATAATAGTGTGACGGCAAAACATGCCAAACAATTATCACCTTGCCATCGTTACCTTCGTCACAATCATTATCTAAGTGTTTGCAAAGATTATTATCAATCGCTGTTTGATCTTTCGGAACATAACCGTTAAAATCAAGAAACGAACCAAATCCGAATGCATTTTTGTTCAATTCTTTTCCAATACTTACGATAACATATTTTACGCCGTCTTCACGTGCTTGAGTAAAATCAACTAGCAAAAGTTTTTGCATTTCGATCGCGTATGGATGAAGTGTTTGCAGCAGTTTAGTTTTATAAATCCCACCAACTTCGTACACATCATAAATAAGTATATGTCCGCCTCCGGTACCAACCCACAACATATTAACGACTGAACACATGCACGTTACTCTGACATCAACGTCAAGAGCTTCTGGTGAACACTTCAGAACATCAATACGGCAACTAAATATATATAAAGCTTCTTTAGTTTCTGCACTATACATATGAATATCAGGGCTAGATTGATAAGAAATAAAAAAGAATTTCTCATCAAAGGAGAGAACAATTTCTTCAATTTTTTGTTCATTATAACACAAAACTTTCTTTTCTTTATTTTTCTTAAAATTACAATACATAAATGAACAACCAGCTGACCAAATGAATGATTCAGGCAATAAAACCGAGGTTTTTATAGGAGAATTTTCCGTTAAATTAGAGCTATTATGCTTTTTGTTAATCTTTCCATTTAAAAAATTACTTAAAGTAAATTTAGAATAATGTCCATCGTCAAACCCAAGACAAACCCAATTTTTGTTTGCAGAGATTGAACAAATATAGCTATCCATTATTTTGTGACTTTGAACCTCAATGTAGTTTTGGGCTTCATAAACTAAAATGACATCATTGAGACTTCGTAACAAAACACATACGTGCTTATTACCAATGGACGTCATGGATGATATATTAAAATTCTGCAAACCAAACCGCTCACCATTTATTTGAATTTTTTTGACAATTTGAAAACTTTCCATATTTATTACGACAATAATAGACTGGTCTAAAAAAAACAACAATAATTAACTTATAATAGTTATATATATTTACATATAAAAGTTATATATAGTTACATATAAAAATATAAAAATAACTAATAAATTTTTGATTTCCGTTTGCATCCATATTAAAAATGACTGTTAAAACTAATGTTAAAATTTTAAAAATATATAATATTATAAAATTATACAAGGATATCAACTATAATGAAGAAATAAAAAAATATAATAAAGACATACAAGAAATTACAAATATATGTTAAAGATAGTAATTAGACAAGATTTTTAAAACTTGATTAGAACTGTTAAAGAAGGACATCATACTAAAACATTTGTTTAAAAGATCCAGATGTTTGCATTACTTTCACTATTTGGCATTTTTTATGTTTAAATATAAAGAAACGAGTCTTAAGAAAGTCTTTAACGACTGTAATTTTAGAGAAAAAACTTCTAAAATTCCAATCGTTAAAGAATCAAAAAATAAAAACGTCAAAGTCCAAAAAAATTTGCTCAAAATTATTTTTTTTAAGCCATAAAAATCTTAATAAATTAGTTGAAAACTCGGTTGAAAGTCCGCAACATTATTAAATTGTGTATAAAATGGTGGTCTATTTACATAAAACGTGTGCTGTTTGTTTTACACAGTTCGGTAAAAGTCATCTAAAATTCAAAAGATTACTCCAGCAAATAAAACAAAGATAAAAACTTTCGTCTGGAGTCAGTATAGTTTAGATGTAACTAACTATCCGAAGGTTATTTGTAACAACTGCCACAAAACCTCTATGATCTCGACAAGAACAAAGTGGAGTACCTAGGGAACTGGATAGAAAAGATAAAATTCATGTTAATCTGTTTTTTTATATATAATAATTATTACGACTTTCTAGTTTGTTTTATTTACTATCACACAGTTTCTAAACTAAAAATACAGAATTGAATTTTTTTTTAATACATGTTATTATACATACACATGTATTAAAACATAATACATGTGTTATATACAGCACTATAAGTATATGCATATACATATACTTAGTGTAAGTATGACATGCATTGAGGTATTTGAATATAATGTGTATATATGTAGTATATACACATTATACTCAAGAAGTTATACAAAACACATATAATTGTATAAGATAAACAACTATTTGCTATTTATTTATTAACTATTTATTCACTGTTTATAGTGTAAGCTTAAAATTTAATTGTATAGTATATATAGTTAAACTTTAAGCGTACAAAGTGTGAATAGACTAAAATACTATTTAGTATGCTAAAATAATATCACTTACTGACCAATATTTTTTGCATTAATTTAGATTGATAGATTGCATCTTAGAAGATTACCAAATATCAATGACATTGTTGATGAAATTAATGCTTCTAATGATTCTGAATGCGCCTCCAGACTATGTTCAACATGCTTTGGTTTTGTAGGTTAGAGTTTTATTATTATTGTTGTTTTATTCTTTCATGTTTATAAGGCTTCACGTAACAAAATTTTATTGTGCTTAATAAAACACTTAATTAATTAAAAATTTTGTTTATTTGTTTCCGAACAAAAATATTTAGTGCAAGGAGTAGTTCATATCTGTACAGAGAGTGAGCAAAGCTGTTGACAATCTGATTGTAGCAGCAGAACAGCTTGGACCTAAATATTCAGAACAAGTAGCCTCAGGCAAGTATTTTAAGCTGTTCTTTTAATATAGATACATATTTAAAAATTCCAAATAATAAACATATTTTATTAATGTATGTTGCCAGGTACACTTAAGCACATGGAAGCTGAAAATATTTATAGATGGAGGCAGATGGAAGCTGAAAATATTTGTAGAGGACAGAAGTTTCAGCTGGCTACTCATTGGCAGTGCCGGTTTAACCAATGAACACACTAGAAACGTGCCGGAAGGCCACGGAATTTAAGGGGCCAGAGCATCTAAGTGAATTTTTGAGAGATATAATTTGATAGAAAAATTTTTACTATCGGCCTTTATCATTGACTTTCTTTAATGTCTTAGAGACTTTTATTTTTTATTTTAATCTTTACAATAACAACGCATACGACGTATCGCAAACTCGACGTTCTATGTTTTTAATGACTTGAAAGAACTTTCAAGTTTGAATATAATGGTGAACAAAGAAATTTAAAATCATTCTCAAAGGATTATCATTCCACAAGAAAAAAATAGGGTCGATACGCAATGGAAATTTATTATTATATTGAGCTGTTGGAAACTTATTGTTACATTTTCTAACAGCTGTTAGGGTAGGGTTAGGTTTTATCATAATTGAATAGGATTTAATATGCTGATATAAGTTTTGTACTTTGCAAACTATAAAACTTATATTCAGCATATTAAATCCTATAATTAAAACCAAAGCTTTGTTGAGAAATAAACTAAAAGTTCATTTTTAGCAAATCGAGATTTAATAGGTCGACAATTTGTAAAACCTGTTTACACGGAAAGTTTTTGTTTTTATTAGCGACTGAAAATTATTTTACTTTTGAGATAATATATAATTTTTTTTGTTGATATCAAGTAAAAATAAATAAAGGGGGGGGGGGGTCTTAATAAGCATGTTTCAAGGTTACTAAGGCATAGAACTTGATGAAAACAATGCAAACAAGTTCCTGAAGTTGGTGGATATACTTGAATAAGATATTATAAACTTTTGGGAAATATTCTACCATACCCTTACCATAACCATACCATAACCCTTCTACCATACCCTTCTACCTCTATTCTATTCTACAATACCAAATGCAGAAGCACTTGGTATGGTAGAAGGGGATAAAATCAGCACTGCTGTTCTGAAGTTTAAAAAGTCTTATGCAGATTCGAATGAGTACATGCATGCCACATTCGAGGGTATCGAGCTCAGTGTTACATGGAAAGTTTACATAGCAGTATGTCATATACTTCCTTGTCTTCATTCGACTGACCGCGGCCTAGGAGTTTACTGTGAGCAAATAGGAGAAGCTTTCATCATGAATTCAAAAAAACATGGAATAGATACAAACGAAGAGTTAACCATATAAATTATGCAAAACGGCTAAAATCCAGTGTTGTTGAGTTTGCATAAAAAAAAAACATTAAATAATTTAATAATTATATAATTTAATTTATTGTTTATAATTTCAAGTATATATGGTAAAATATATCATTTATAGCATTTAGACTTTTATTATAACTAATTAACATAAAGCTTTTTTATTTTTTACTTTTATTTGTTTAGGATAAGTTATAGCTATTTTTTGATATTTTTTTTCTAATTTTTTTAACACCCCGGAAGTTTTAAATGTTATAAATAGTGTCTACTTATGTATACCCAACTATTGAAAAAAAAAATTAGACCTGAGGAACATTTTAATCTGGCTGTCACTCAGGTCCACAGTGCATTTTAAAGATACTAAAATTTCAATGAAAGTTGTAAAATCTGCTTTCATAAACATTTTATTAATTGATTTTACTATCTCAGATAAAGTTCATTACTTTATTTCCCATTCTCAATCACAGTAACTTAATCAAAAAAATTGAATAAATCAAGAATTATTATTATAGGTGACTTTACAAACATGCATATGAAGATTGCATATGAAGGTGAAATACATAGCTATCACTGAAACACCCAACAACGCTCTTTACATCCTTTAGTGATATACTTTATAGTCAAGGATATTTCACACTGCTTTAAATCAGAGGATGTTACAAACAATGTAAACTTTAGGTACAAAATATTTCAAATAATTATACCCTCATTAATTTAAAATCTTCCTAATCTGTCCGAAACACATTTTTTAAATGATGGTTGTGAACGATAAAATAGAAATTATAAAAGCTTTTACAATCTATGCCAGCTAAAAAGCAATTTTGGCCAAATGGAAGCTGAATGGAACTTCTTTGCCATGTCCCATAATAAGTCATCATGCAATGGGATCGGTGGAACTGTTAAAAAGTAAAAAATGCAAGAAAGGTTGAAAACAACCATACCAAAATCAAATAATCACATAAGAAACCATGTATTTTGAATTATTTTTAACATTTATCATAACTTTGTACTGAGAAAATCAAGTGTTAACTTTATTTATATAAAAGAATCAAAACAAAAAAAGAAGACAAGCACAAAGGTGTAACAATTTAACCTAATATTCCTAGCTTACATAAGTTTATAAATCTTACAGACAGAAACTACACAATAATCCACTAACTTAAAAAGTAGTAAGATAAAAGTAGCAAGTAACTACACAATAATCTACTTAAAACGCAGCATATTTCATGCTGATGCTGATACTTGGATGTTGAAAATGTTTATCAATAAGGATTTTGAAGTTAGAAAATTTAAAATAAAAACAGTTCTAATTTTATATGGTAGATAATTATGGAGTTTTACATCCATATAATAAAATCCTTTTTCAGCAAGATTTTAAACACAAGGCAGTTTGAGCAAACAATTTTGATTTCTAGTTCTAGCTTTATGAGTGTTAATCATAAAATAATGAGAAATGAGCACAATTTTTGGGCAAGTTCCTTATTATAGGCTTAATAATTGATGGTAAACTATGTCCATTCTGTACATAACTTTGGGAGTAGATGACAATCTTTTACTTGATTTGAATATCAATTGAATAAGCATGCTGTGTTTCTGTAAGATTAAGGTTGATAAGGTATTATAAGCAACAAGGTATTATAAAAGTGGCAAGATCATATTTGTAAGGTAAGATTGCACATACTCTGTGTGACTAACTCTGAGCTTCTATTTATCTAATATTTTTTCTCTTTTCTGTTGTATTACAATATTAATTTTAATATCTTTTGTTAAATTTATTATTTCAATTTTTCTTACATTGAAATATTTTCATTAGTATTCTCTTCATCACTATTATTGTTATTATTATTAAATTTTTATTATAATAATTATTCTTACTGTTGCTATTATTGTTATAATTACTTTTATATTACTGTTTTTGTTATTATTATTATTTATTATTGTTGTTGTTATCATTTTTATTGTTATTATTACTATTACTATAGTTATAATTACTATTAGGAAGGTTTTTAAATGTTTGAAATAACCAACTTTTAAACAAAAAAAAACATTGCAAATTTTTTTATGTTCATATGCATGACGAAAAGATTCTTTACAAAAAAAAAAAAAAATACTGTGATAGGAGAATGGAAACAAAAAACTCTAAAATCTTAGCCCCCTGCCCCAAACGTAAGAGCAACAAGTTGATGAAATATTTTTTGTACTATTTTCAACTAGACTTATCTTCATCAAGAAATTTTAAATTTCATAGTAAAATATTTTAGTGTTTATAAATTATGACCATATAAAATTTGCAACCCCTCAAATTGACGGGAGCTTAAACTTTATATGGTCATACTTTTTATAATCCTTATTACTTTTTTTAATCACTATCATTACTACCATTATTTATTATCATTATTTTTATTACTCCTAATTGTATTATAGTTATTATTATTATCTTCATTTTATTATTTTTAAAACAAAACATCAAATATGTATAAAGTGTTCAAAAGTAAATATAATAATCTGTTAATAAATGTTATAACCACGATCAACAAAAGAGCAAATCCAAAATCAAAAAACTAAATAAACAAAGAAAACAAATTTTAACCAATCATGAGGTATATAAAAAGATTGAAATAAATGGACCTTGTTTTTTTAACAACCCATCTGTGCGTCTTTTGCATATTTTCAAAAAATGAGGAATTACTAAAATAATTTTAATTAAATAATTAACTTAATTAATAATTTATTACTGAAACTAAAGTAATTTAACCGTCTACTTTATCCTACTAAAAAGGGTTATAAAAAGGATTGTTAATGGGTTGGGTCCAGACCTGACTTGTTTTACCTGGATTTGGGTTTTTTTTATTGTAGACAAACAACCCATCAGACTTGTTAGACCTATTGACTAAACTGGTTGGGTATGCACAGTCAAGCTGTTTGGGTCTGGGTCTAACGGGTTATGGGTTGATAATAATGAAACTTAGAGTGAGTTCAAACGGGTTGGGTCCGGGTCTAAACCCGGCCACTAACAGCTCAAGATGAAATCATCTAGGGCTGTCAATGGGTTTTGATGGCCCTATGTATGTATGTATGTATGTATGTATGTATGTATGTATGTATGTATGTATGTATGTATGTATGTATGTATGTATGTATATAAGTGTTTGGGTTTGGAGGTTTTGGGTACTATCTACATTTGAAGGAAAAAATGGATGCAAAATATAATATAATAAGAAAGTGCTGGGCTAAACCAGCAAAAGTAAGTATATGAACGTATATAATTCAAAATATTTACATTTTTTGTCATCACATGATATCCAAAGCTCCTTACAACTGGTGATATAACACATTCCACGTGGTTTATGTGTAGAATGTAACATTTTTAGCCCAAAAACTAATTGAAAAGTTGGAGACAGTAACATATTTAATACATCATTAGCATGGGGTCTTTTGGATGATTCTTGATTCCACATGGTTATCATCAACTTTGTTAAATTAATCAACCCATAAAAAGCATCAGGAACATCATAAAACTTTGGTCGAAACCCATTTATGACTTGATTGTCTATAAATTGAACCAAAATATCATTAAAGGGTCTTCGATATGCAATTAACTCATAAACAACCATACCAAATGAGTATATATCAACACTAGAAGTATATTCATCTAGATATGATTGGTACATAATCATTTCTGGAGCAGCATAACCTTTAGTACCAAAAAATGTTTTTAAACCACTTGGACTCATGATGTTCGCTGTTCCAAAATCAGTTAACTTGATATTAATTTTTGAATTGTGATTCAGCGAGAATAGTAAAATATTGTCTGATTTTATATCGCGATGAATAATACACTTTTTATGCATAAAAGCTAAAGCACTTGCAATTTGCTGGCAAATTCGAAACTTAACAATTCTGGGGATAAATTTAGATCTTTTATGAATGACAGATGATAAAGCGCCATGTCTAGCATACTCCATCACAGCACATAATTCTGGTTTGATTAAGAAACCTAAAAATTGAATTATATAAGGATGATGTCGTAATTTACTGAGCATTAAAATTTCTTGTCGAATTTCGTAAAACTGGTCCAATGATGATGAAAGTTCAGTGTTCATATTAAATTTGTAAAACTTTATTGCAGCTACAATTTTGTTCTTAAATAAACCAATATATACTTTTCCATATTGTCCTTCTCCTAGCTTGTATTTTTCATTTTTTTCACAATAAATATCATTGTAGTTATATTTCATTGTTTTTGGTAAATCTTGAAGAGTCAGTTCAGGACAATATTCTGCTATATTAATTGTCTTTGGTATGTGCTCTTGTTCACATAACATATTGCATGTGTTGTCCTCTGAGCTTTCTAAAATTTTTTGAAAGGCAGTACTTATGTTAAATAAATGAGGAGGATTTATGCCCAAGGTTATACATACAGGACATGCCAGAGTAGAAATAACTTGAGAATCAGACATTAACAAACCTTCATACCATTCATTTAGAAGTGTTCTAATATGATCAACAACATAGCTGAGGATACGATAGCCTAAGGAGGATTTAGTTACACATATTTCAATTGTTTCTCTATCTGCTTTATACAAGACAGGTAGCTGTTGTATTGAAAAACTTAATTGTGGATGATTAAATATGATTCCTTTATTCCAGCAACTTAAATAACCATTGTCCAAAAGATAAGCTAGTTCACCATAATCATTAAAATGTTCTTCATAAATTTCATCACTGTTAGACAGTTCATTGATAAACTGAGACTCGATTTCATCATCTTCCTCTTTGGCTTCCTCATTTGTACAAACATAATTTTCATATTTCTGTTTTAAAATAACTTGCTTGCTGGCATCGAAACAACCAACATGAAGTCTTTCAGTTATCATTTGCATATAGCCATCAGTTTCAGTATTTTCTTCATCATCATTTGCAGAAAAGTTGTCATCGGAAAGAGCATCAGTGTAAGAATCTGAGATAGGGTCATATTTGAAATCAGAACTTATGTTAAAATTAGTTGACTTTTGTATCTTATCATCTCCACAGTTATCATTACAATTACTTAAGTTATCAGCGCTATCTATGATCAACTCATTTATGATTAGATCACAATTTTGTTTAAAATTACTTTCACAATAAGGTGTCGTGTAATTTGTTGATTGATGTATTTCATTTGTTACAGCAGCTAAATTGATTTCTTGTATAGCAACTCTGTCACTTGCATTTGTATTGGTTTCAAAATTACAAGTTGCACAATCTTTAAGTTCTTTCGATACATTTATAACATCGCTATGAAGGTGACAAAAAAAACTATTTTCATTAACAGGTGAAATTGATTTTGAACATTCTTGAAAATCAATTTTACCTGTCATATAATTGGCAAAAAACACTTGATTCTTTTCTCTACCATTCTTTTGTTGATTGTTATTTATTTTGCGCTTTTCTTCATTGAAAGGAATTTCTGAACTAAATTTATCTTCTTCAATTACAATACCTGCGGCAGATATATTAGGAAGACACTCATTGTATATATTATTTTTATTTTTTTTGCTACAATCATATCTAGTAACATCCATCTCATCTTTTGGTAAACTACTACTGAGTATGGGAACATTAGGCTTTATTTCTATATTTGGCGACAACATTTCTTTAATCATTGATAAAAAACGAGTTATAAATCGAGCCCAAAAACCATAGGGTATACAGCTGAAGAAATAGTATCGAGTGAGTAGACTATTCAAATTGATCAACAATGAATGCTTAGGATCGTAATTTGGAAGTTTCGGTGGAATAAGAACTCTATAATCATCAATCTTACAAGCAACTTGGAATCGCGATAATAAACTTAAATATTTCTTGATTATATCAGGATTTTGATTCTCTAACTCTTCTTTTAAAATTAACTATAAAAAAAAAATTTTTACTTAAATAATCTTAAAAAAAAATAAATGTAGTATTATTCACACAACAATAACAATACCAAGATGCACAAACTAATGGATGTTGCATTTGGTAATTAACCATTATCAAATGCAACATCAGCAATGCAACTATAATATATGCAAATAAACAATAACAAAAATTATAATTTCATGTTTATATTGATAAAAAATAGATAATGAAAAATTAATTTTATACAAAGCAAATGATCCAATATACAGTCGACTCTCGATATCTCGAACTTTTGAGTTATCATCTCGAACAATTTTATAGCTAGTACTAGTTTAGGCTAAAATCCTCTCGATATCTCGAACATTAATATCTCAAACTTTTTGGTATCTCGAACAATATTTTCGGTCCACAGGGCAATTTTCTCTCGTTATCTCAAATTTTATTAAAACATTTTTTTTTTCAAAAATGTTTTAATAAAATTTAATTTTTTTTTTATTCCAATTTTTGAAAAAAAAAAAATTTTAATTCGATTTTTAAATTCGATTTTTTTTAAGAATCGAATTTCTGAAAAGTTTTCCTTTAATATATTAATTTATTCTTTTTGTCGAACGCAACAACATGCCGCTCATTAAATGAAAACTCACGAAAAAATCTATAATAGAAAAATGCAAGGCATTAAAAGACCTAGCGACAGGGATGTCTAACAAAGAGGTTGCCAAAAAGTATGGAGTCCCAAAGAACACATTATCAATCTGGATTAAAAATAAAACCAAGTTATTAACCTCACTGGAAAAAAATGGCACAAAATCTAAATGGAAGAAACTTTCGCAGAAGCATTAGGAGAGTTGGATTTTAAAGCATCTGATTGTTGGTTCCATAATTGAAAAGAAAGGCCAGTTAAATTTTGTCAAATCTTGTTCAATTTTAATATAAACAAATAATATGTATCTGTTTATATTTAATTTATTTAGTTTTTTAAACGTGTAATTAAAATTCAATTATTCTGTTTCTATTTTTAGGAACGGCATCAGCTTTAAAATAATCTTAGGCAAAAGTGCCGCCGTGACAAATAATATGACTGCTTCGTGGAATGAAACTACACTCCCAACATTGCTTTTGAATTACAAACTTGAAAACATTTTCAATGCCGATGAGTTTGGACTATTTTACCAGTGCCTACCAAACAAAACATACCATTTATCACGTGAAAAATGTTTTGGGGGAAAAAATAGTAAAGTCACACTAACAGGCATAGCAGCAGGGAGTACAACGGGAGAAAAATTACCTATGTTTGTTATTGGAAAATCTAAAAACCCACAGTGTTTTAAGCATATTAAACAACTTCCTTGCACATATAAAAATCAGCTAAAAAGTTGGATGACCGGGGACCTTTTTACAGAATGGGTAATGAAACTTGACTCATTTTTTCATGCTCAAGACAGGAAAGTAGCACTCCTGGTGGATAACTGTTCTGCCCACCCACACATTGAAGGGCTAAGCAACATCAACCTAATATTTTTCACCCCTAACACCACATCTGTCCTTCAGCCCATGGATCAAGGCGTAATACGAAGTCTTAAAGCTCATTATTGTCACACAATTGTGCGTTTGTGTATCTGGCTGTCGATAATAACAAACCCATGCCAAAAATTTCTATACTTCAAGCAATGAAAGATCTTGTTTCTTCGTGGAATGCTGTGTCGAAGGAGACTGTCATCAATTGCTTTAAAAAAGCTGGTATCAGCAAAACAAACAAGAGTATTGAAGAAGCTGATGATGATCATCCATTTAAATTTTTGACAGAAGAACTTAACCGTTTGCGAGAGTTAGATCCTCATGCCCTCCAAGAAGATCTCTCAGCAGAATCTTACATTGGTTTAGATTGCGATGTAGTAACCACCGGTTCACTTGCTACTGATGCTGAAATCATTGCTCAGATTTTAGACCCTAATTTTGAAAACGACAATAATGAAGTTGAAGATAGCGTTGACGAAGCTATTGACGTCAAAGCCCCGCCATGCCCATCTGATATTCTATTAGAAATTGTTTTTAAAACGATTCAAAATGCTTCGCTATACAGCTCAAAATACAGAAATGAAATACAATCCCTAGCACTAAAACTTGAGGATTTAATGAAGATGGAAAAGATGGATAATTTAAAGCAATATCAGATAACAGATTTTTTTCCAAAAGTTGTAGTTTTCGTCGTCAATGATTTTTGTCAGAAAAATTATCTTGTTTAAATGAAAGTCAGGCAATTTTATTTATTTTAAACCCTTTTCTTGATATCTCAAACTCTCGATATCTCGAACTTTTTTTCTGGTCCCCTTAGTGTTCGAGATATCGAGAGTCGACTGTAGTGATTATTTGGCATTGTTAATGCAATAATATAAAAAAAAATGATTATAAGTATTAATTTTCTATTTGTCTGCATATTATTTTAAAGAAAACTTTTCAAAAGCAAGCAAAAAAAAAAAAATTATAACTCCTGCAATTAAATCATTATTTATATTTATACTTATTTAAACTAAAGATTAAAATAAGTTAAAGTAAGGTTTATAAATAAAATTGAATTTTTTTTTGAATGTTTATTATGAACTAATAAAAGATTTATGGCAACAAATCACATTTTCAAACTCTTCTCCAGCTAAATGTCATTTTTGCACTTATCATAATTTTAGGAATGGCCACAGACATTATTTATTAAATACAAATAACTTGTTATAAATAATTTGATTTTAGTTTAGAATTCTTAAAAAACTTAAAAAATAAATCATGATGAAAATAAAAGAACTCATTATAAAAATTATCTTTTGATTATAAAAAATGTAATAATGAAAATTTTCAAAACTTATAATAATAAAAGTTTATTTTTTAGAGTCAGCAAAATTATTTTTGGAAAAAGATTGAACTAATTAAAGATTAAAGTCTATTTGATAAAAATACTATTTGATTTGATTTGTAATAAATATATATAGGAATAAATATTTTGACACAATATAACAAAAAGAACATTTTATTTGAGCAACAGATAATAAAAACACAGAAATACAAATTAGTATTAGTTAGTAGCAGGTACATAGTAGCAGCTGCATATTAGTTAATCACTTTTTTTTTTAAATATATGTTAACTTTTCCAAAGCCAAGGATCTGGGTTGGCGTAGGCTGGGGTAGATTAACCTGTGTTACATTATTTCTTGATTAGGATGATGAATGCTAGATCTATTATTTGCTTGTGCCTCATTGATAGTTGCTATGCAACTATTCCTGCAATCATCAAATGAAGATGCAGCTCTAAAACTCAGTCTAATGGTACTGAGACCGGCTGGTAGTGAGGTTTCCGTACTCTGTGGTAGGTCTCAGAAGTTGATTTCAGCAACAGCTGTAAAATATCAGAGTATTAACAGTACCATGTTGCGTATGGATTGTATCTCTGTTAATGCCTTTGGTGTGCATTTTTGAGATCACATAAGGAGCCCTAATTAGGGCTCCTTATGTGACTTAGGCCTAAGTTACAACTTAATTAATGAGACTGAGATAACTGCTATTCTGCTATTCCTTCTTCAGATCTCAGTATTGATGGGTACTATTTTTTGATTTGCAAAGACTCCAATAGCCACATGCTTGGTTTAGGTCTATACTATGCATCAATTCACTTATTTGTCAAGAAATCAAATTTAAATCTTTTGACCATTCTTTTATGAGCTTCCGCTTAGCACCTTTTCACTCTATTACCTTTCTCTTTGCTCTTTATCATTCTTCCTAAGACTGCATTCTTTTAGATGTAATTTCTGATCAAATTGACCATGCCCTTTCTCCTTACGTCTCTATCAGTATTTCTATTACTGATGACACATGAATCACACTGAATGGCTTGGCTCTAACACTACTAAACTTCTAGCGCTAAAGCCTATAACTTCTGGATTTATTAATCTTTTAATTAGATAGTTAACTTTAGAGACTTGTTTTCATGACAACCCTTATTATTTAACTTGTCTCTAACCCTATCTTGTGTTCAGTTTCTCCTTTTTTCAGGTGAATCTGCAATGATTTCTTTAAATCTTTCATCTCATAGTTCTTCTTCGGACTCACCCTATCATTACACCATATACTACTACCCTAAAGCTGACTAGGAATCTTTTTTGTGAATGGTCTAGTGATTAATAAAGGTCTTTTTTCTCTCAATTGATAAATGCGTCTCCTATGTAAATACCTGGATTTAGGCAGGAATGGAAGCTTTTATTTTATCATGTCGGTAACAACTCAAGCTCTATTCTACTCCATGGTTTTCACCTTCTTGTGCAGCTGATATATCTAACCACTACTGTTTCTTTTATTTTTTTCAAAAGAGAAATTCTCTTAAGAACAAACAGCTATTTATTGCAAGAAATCGATGTGAAAAGGTGCTGCCTGATGCTAAGCTTTATTATTCTCAGTTTTGGGAAATCTTCAACAGTGTCATTAACAACAGAAGGTCTAATATTTCCCCCCTTATTCATGGGGCTGATCTTATTATTTCTCCTATCATTAACAACAGAAGGTCTAACATTCCCCCTCTTATTCATGGGACTGATATTATTACCTCACCCAAGGACAAGTTAGAACTATTTGCTAAGAATTTTTCTTGAATCTTTTGGCCATTCATATTCTTCCAATTAAACAGGTTAACTTATTATTAGACATTCAAATTAATCCAGCTTCTGTTGCTAAAGCAAATCTCAAATACAAATTCTATGGCTTGTGATCCAGACAACATTTCTGTCATAATCTCACAAGTGCTTGACTGAGTCTTATTTTTCTGCCTGCTGGAAAATCGCATCTGAGTTTCAAAAACTCTGGAGAACACTCTGATTCCTCCAGTTATCATCTGATCAGTTTTCTTTCTGTTATTAGCAAAGTCTTTGATCAACAAATTTCTAACATCCCATCTTGAGTCAAATAACTTACTGTCAGACAATCAATTGGGTTTTCGATCCTTTTGCTCTACGGCTGACTTGCTAACTGCTGTGAC